GAAAGCATTCATTCAAAAGCACTTTCAAAGCCTTCAGTTCCATACTAGCTGATGACCTTGATCATGCCCTAGGCAGGGAATATCTTCCCCCACAGATCCCCATCTCTGGGTGTGTCTTCCCTTCTCTTGCAGTGGGTGGCAAGGTGGGTGAGGGAGTCCCAATGTGGCGGGTGCCCTGGACATGGGGAGATGCCCTGTGTTGGGTCCACACCTCTTAGATTTTCTCTCCAGGACAGCCTGCCTTCCCCTCTTCTGCCTATTGTTCTGCCAGATTTCAGACTGTGAGTTCTGATTTCTGGTTGCAAGATGGGGCTTTTGGGACTGAAGACGTGTGCCATGGTGAGCTCACTGTGTCCCCTGCCCCATCTGTAAACAAGGAAGGTGAGGTAGGGAGAGGGGTTTTCTCCCTAGCTCCATCCCAGGAGGCTCTGACCTGGGCGTCTGGAGTCCCTGACCCGGGCGTCTGGAGTCCCTGACCCTTTCTCATTGGCCCTCCCTCTCCCTGGGTTTCCTGGGGACTGGGAGTGAGGGAATAAAGGCAGAGAGCAGCGGGAGGGAGGCTGCGTCTGCTGCCTGGGTTCTGAGCTTGCTTCCACCCTGGTGAGTCCCTCCTTCTGATCCCCCTGTTCATCTATCTGGTGGGCCACACTGGGTGATGAGGGTGACAAGTGGTGGTGACCTCCCCCGAGGAAGGCCTGGCCCCACAAGTGGGCAAGTACTCAGAGAGGAGAGGACAGAGTATTGGGAATTGTGGCTGTCAGAGCTTCCTGAGAAGTGGCCCTGGGGTGGAGGTGGGGATCAGAACCGCCAGGATGCCCCTGCAGACACCCAGAGGCCCTTGTGGCCCTGGCTGAGTTTCCCTGAGGTGGGAGAAGCTGAGGTTTTTGGGTAGTGGGAGGTGAATGACACGTCCAGTTCAAGAATCGTAGGGTGGGCTCTGGGCTGGAGGGGAGGACCCTCTGCAGAATTTATCTGCAACCCTCAAGTTCCATGGGTGTTTCCTCTTTCTCTACGGGGGAAGTGGTTTTCATGTCTGAGTCACCGAGCCTGCCTCTTCCCTTGGGTGGGAGTGGCCCAAGCCCTGGACCCAGGCTTCAGCATGATCCTGGGTTTTCAGTAGGCCTTGCTCCCCTCCTGCCTCCTGGCCAGTCTCTGCGTGTGTTCTCTGGGCCGGAGGCTGGAGACCAGCTGGGCAAGCCTGATCACCCCTCTGCTGCTTCCTGCTGACACCTTACCTTCCAGTTCCAGCCCAGCCCCCTCTGACCCCTGGACTCTCTCTTTGCCCTGTCCCCCACTTTAATAATGGGACACTTCTTGATATCAGGTGATTCAGGCACTGGGGCAGAGGAAGGCGACTAAGGTGGGAACTGCCTCTGCAAAACTAGTGCCCAAGCTGGATGGGGCAAAAAGAAAATCCTGACCCTTCATCTGCTCCACCACCTGCCACCAGTTCTTTTGGGGAGGTCATCTTGTCACTGCTCTGCCCCAGGCCCCTTATCAACGTCTCCTAAGCAGAAGACTCTGCAGTCTCCTCTCACGGCACTGGCTGCTCCAGAGTTGCCTCCGGTCTCATCATCCCCCAGCCTGATCCACGTGGGTCCTGTGGTTGGTGGTCTCCGCATGAGTTCCAGTCTTCGGTCCTTTGAGGGAGGGGCCTTGGGAGTGGGCTAGTGGTGGTGGGGGTGGTGGCGGAAGGTCTGGCTTCCTGAGGAGAGCGCTCTTCCTCTTGTCTGCCTCCAGACCTGCACACCGTGATGGAGACTCTTCTCGAGAAGGCGCTGACCACTATGGTCACTACTTTCCACAAGTATTCGGGGAGAGAGGGTAGCAAACTGACCCTGAGTAGGAAGGAACTTAAGGAACTGATCAAGAACGAGTTGTGTCTTGGGGAGGTAGGTGACTGCTCCCTCACCCTCCACCCCAGAGTCTGAATGCTCCTTGTGGGGGACAGACTTGCCCTCAGGGTACTCTAGCCCAAGCCAGGACAGGAAGGCCAAAGGGTATGGACTGAGACCGAAGGAAGAGAGTGGACATTTTGGGCCAATCGAACTCTCGCCCTCTCTGCTGGGGGACGAGTTAGGGTCTCCCTGGGAAAGAGGAAGGGCTGAGTCTGGAGGGTGGACTGTGGCGTGTGAGGGCTTAGAGGGAGAGATCAAGGAGCCTTTGGTGGGGGCAGGCTCCGGCAGCAGGGGATGGTGAAGGCACCCAGGGTGTCCAGGCCGAGCTGTGCACAACTCAAGGGTGGGGACCCTGCCTGGTTCTCCCCTGTGCACCCGGCATGGCCAGGGCTCCCAGCAGGTGTTGACACCTGAACTAAGAGGTTAATTTGTGAACACAGGGTAGCAAGGCAACAACTGATTCGCCTAGGTGGAGATGGTGGGAGGGAGGTGACTGACACAGGGGAAGGCCCATGAGGTGGATACTATAATATGTGTATCTTTACAGTTAAAAAAACTGAGGTCCAGATACATAAAATAACTTGTCCAAGGACACCAGCTAGTGAGAAGCTGGGAGAATTCCAGCCCAGGGCTGTGAATCCTTTAAAGTTCATCCTGGGGGGCCTATCACATCCTGAACCCCGGTAGGCCTCCCCAGAGAGAAGGTCCTGAGAGTGTGCCCGCATGGGCAGGGGAATGAAGCAGGTGTGTGTGTCCCCAGGCCTGCCCTCTGGCCTTCCTGCCAGGCTGTCTGCATCCTGGAGTTAACGAGGGCAGAGGGAGGGGCCGCAGGTCCAGAAGGGGTTAATTACAGGGGGACAGAGGCCCAGGAGAGGGCCTGGCTATAACAGGAGCGCAGACTGGGGACTAGGATCACGTCACAGGGAGGCAGTTTCCATCTCCGTGTGTCCCGACAACCTGTCTCCTGTGAAAACTCGGAGCTGAGGGCAATGAAGAGGGGAGGGCAGGATCAGCCTGTCTGCATTTTCTTCCTGTTCCACCCCAAGGACCCTGTCTCCATCCTCCTGGGGGTGGGGCAGGTTGGGAGGGCAGAGGACCAGACAGAGAGCACCACTGGGTGCCAGGCCCTTCTCTCAACACAGCTCTCCTAGAGGGGGAGGGACGCAGTGGCTTCTCAGCGCCAATGCACTGTTCTCACGGAGAGACGTGCTGTCTGTCCACGAGACACCCACACCTGCTTCACCCTGCCCTGGCTTGGGCTAGAGTTCATTCTCAACTGGCCCCTATGATGGGGACCCAGTAAGTCGGAGACTCAGATAATGCTCAGTCCACATAACCACCAAGCTGCTTTAATTAGGTGGTGGTATGAAATCTAGGCTCTTATTTCTCTGGGCGGGCAGGGTGTTGAGGAGAAGGGGGGCTAGGCTAGTGTTCCTGTTGTAATTTATTTAGATTCAGGAGTCAGGTCATTGAGCCCACACCTGGGGCCAAGCCTTTTGCTGGGTGTGGGCTGGGGGCAGGCTCTGGGGGTGGAGACACTCATAGTGTCCTGACTCAGCTGGGGATCACCCCGAGGCTGTGTGTGTGTGTGTGTGTGTGTGTGTGTGTGTGTGTGTGTGTGTGTGAGACCCTGCAATGCTGGGGCAGGGCTGGGAGGGGTTCCTGAGCTGTCTCTCCTTGGGCCCCACCAGAAGATGAAGGAGAGCAGCATCGACGACCTGATGAAGAGCCTGGACAAAAACAGCGACCAAGAGATCGACTTCAAGGAGTACTCAGTGTTCCTGACCACGCTGTGCATGGCCTACAACGACTTCTTCCTGGAGGACAACAAGTGACTGGGGCTCCCCGCTGTCCTCATCATCAGCCCCTTGCCCCTGACCTGTGCAGCGCCTCTCCAGACCCTCTTTGGCCCCACCTGCCTATCCCTCCCACATGGACCCTTCCAGCCAAGGAAATAAAGATTTTCCATTCCTGGTGTTGGGGGCCTGGTTTTGAAGATGTCTTGTCCACCCTGGCTGGGGTGGGGGCTTCTCCGTGAGTGGGCTGAGACAGCCTCTGGGTGTTAGTGTCCCAGGCTCCTATCCCACTTCCTGTCCTTCAGCATGGATGGTCACTGAGCTGTGCTGGCTTAGTTTTGCCCTCCTGGAAAATGGGAAGTTGGGCCTGGCTTCTGCTCGCCTCCCAGGAACTCTGCAAAGATGCAGAGAAAGCTAAGAGGGAAAGTGCTTTGAGAGTGAGGACCCTGGGAAGGATTGGGGGTGGCTCCTGAGGGCAGTGATGGGCACCGGGTCCTGGCTCATAGGGGGCCATCCTGGCAGCCCCAGTAAGAAGGGGGACTCTGACCCCCTCAGCCCCTTTCCCTCTCCTCCACTTCCCCTCTGCTGCACCCCCTCATCATCTCTGGGGCCAATACTTTCTTCTCTCCCCACTTCCCTCTAGCAAAATCTTTTCCCAGGGGAGGATCCGAAGGACTTTTCACTCAAGGGTAACTAACTAGTGATGCCTACAGGGCCTGGCTCCGTGTGGACGCATTAATGGGCAAGGTGCTCTAAAGGTGGAATTTCGGGCAGGGCAGACCACAAGGGAGTGGGGGTGTCGGCAGAAACTTGTTGGTGGGGGATGGGCGCTCCAGGTGGCCTTTAAATCGTAACTTGTAGACCACTGGCAGCTCCCCCTTCCTCACCTGGGGTTGGCCCTGAACACCCCCTGCAGGGCACCAACCTCCTGTGAGGTTTTCGCCCCTCCCCCACATGGACGCTGCATTTCAGGGACACATTCATGCTCTGGCAGGCAGATGGCAGAGGAGGAAGCAGGAGTGACTGCCGGCTGCCATCCTCTTCCTCTTCCAAACCTTCGCGCCGTGTCACGTGTCACAAGGAGCAACCTGATCTATGGAGATTAGGGGAAATTCGACGTCGCCGGGCTTGCAGTGGGCTGCACCAGGCTGCCCCATCCCGTGCTAACTCAGAGCAGCCCCGGGGCAGGAGACACGGAAAGTTGGAGGGGACACCGGGTGTGTGTGCTGTGCAAGCGGGCGCGGGGCGGGGCGCGGGCGCGCGGGGCGGGGCGCGGCCCGGGAGGGAGGGGTGGGCTCCCGCCTCCGGCCGCGGCTGCTATAAAGCCGCCGGACTGCGACACAGCCCATCCCTTGACTGCTCCCTTCGCCCTTCATTGCCTCCTTTTTGGTAAGTTCTCGCCAGGACGGCCCTCGGGCTGGGAGTCCAGCCACCCCCTGCCCCGGCCCAGCAGTGGTGGGTTCCGTGGGCGGGGGTCGGCGCCTGCATCCAGACCGGGCCGTCCGAGGAGCTCTCGGGCTGGAGGGAGAGTCTGGAGCGGCCCGGCTGTGCCAGGCAGGCCCCGGGCTAAGGAATCCTGACGGGGCGGCTCCCCGAGTGTGCTCTTTTGGGGTGCTAGAGGGTGTGCCCTGGGCGCGTCATTGCCACAGTGTGTGGCCCAGCGAGGTTGTGCTTAAGGCTGTGTGTGCAGCCTCTATCCTCCTGCCTTGCCCAGTCACACTCCCTAACCTCTCCTGGAACCCCGGGAGGACAGTTCCCAGCTGTGCCCAAAGCTGCTGCCCCTATTTGCTTCTTAGAATCCTTAAACTACCTCTTCTGTCTTGGCCGCCGCCGGCTCGCTCCCTCCCCTCAAACCCTGGGCTGTCTACTGATGCCACTGTGTGTGGCCTGAGACTGTATGGTCTGGGCAGGGAAGTCAAAAGGAGCGGGGGTGGAGGTGACAGGGCTCCTGGGTGTGTGGGTGAGTGAGGAGTCCTTGCTGCCCATGGCACTGAGCAGCTCCTCTGCATCCAGCTCCGAGCCCCACCCTCAGCCATGGCATGCCCCCTGGATCAGGCGATCGGCCTCCTGGTGGCCATCTTCCACAAGTACTCCGGCAGGGAGGGTGACAAGAGCACGCTGAGCAAGAAGGAGCTGAAGGAGCTGATCCAGAAGGAGCTCACCATTGGCTCGGTGAGTGGCCTCCTTTCCAGGCCCCCTCTTCCCACCTCTCGTCCTTTAGAAGCAGGAACAGGACAGGGCGGGCGCCAGGGCCTCTGACTCCCACCTCCACAATCTGAGGCCCTGGTCCACGCCATGCTAAGCTGGTAGAGCCACTTCCTCCTGGGGTGGGGATGTTCTCAGCCTGGCAGTCACTCCCCCTGAGTGAGGGACAGGAGCTGAGAAGTAATGCCAAGGTGGACACAGATCCTTGATGACAAGTGAGCACAGAGCCACTTGTAAGAGAGAAGGCTGCCTGGGACGGGAAGGGAGAGAACCCAGGGTTCTCAACACCACTGAGTCTGGCTTTCCCCTTCTAACACTAGAAGCTGCAGGATGCTGAAATTGCAAGGCTGATGGACGACCTGGACCGGAACAAAGACCAGGAGGTGAACTTTCAGGAGTATGTCACCTTCCTGGGGGCCTTGGCTTTAATCTACAATGAAGCCCTCAAGGGCTGAAAATAAATTGGGAAGATGGAGACACCCTCTATGGGCCTGTCTGAGTCAAATCCAGGGGTGGGTAATTGCACAATAAATATTTTTTTTTTGGTCAAATCTACCCTTGTGTCCTGGCTTCTGAATGATTTCTGATTCCTTGGCTTAGTGCTGCACCAGCCATCAGATTCGCTCACAGTCAACCTCTGAGAATGACTCATTGACTCACCAGGCCAGCGGACCCGCCTTGACAAGGCCACTGCCAGCTCATAAGCTGCCTTTACGTGAATTAGAAAAGATGCCCCCTTGGCAAAGCCACCTTAAGGAAAGGCTTGAGTGGTCTCCAGTAGAGAAGGTTCTTGGAGATGGGAACGGTGCCTGGGCCAGGCTGTGATGGGTTTGGAGTCCCTAGAGGTGGGGCAGAGATAGTCCTGGCAGGCCCCCGGGAGATGTGTTTTGCTCCGGGTGTGGTGAGAGGGGCCTTGGGGTGGGGCCAGTCCACTTTCTCACCACCGTGGAGTGGGCAGAGAGGACCCACCTGAGATGCCCGAGACCTGGTCTGGGGAGTTTTCTCAGACCAATGACGAGTGTATGACTGAGCTCACTGTGGCTGCCCACGTCCCAGCTGGAGGTCAGGGAGACACACTTTAGGAGGCTGCCCCTGCGTTCAGGGACAGGGTCCTTTTTGGGGGTGGGGGGTGGTGGCCTGAGGAGGGGGCAGCTGAAGAAACACATGAACCTTGGGGAAGGCTGAGGGTCCCCGGGGCTGGGCCAAACACAGCTTCAAGTCTTTCAGTCAATATTGACCCAGCCTGTCCCTGAAGTTTCAGCAGAATGAATCACCCAGTTATGCCCAAGCCTGGCCCTCAGCCCCCACAGAGATGATTAATCGTCTGCATTATTGTCCATTGTTTGCATTAGTGTTTTCAGGCAGGAGGGGTGGGGGAAAGGGATAAGGGTGATGGGGCATTTGCCACAAAATTCCTCCCCTCTAGGGCTAGTCCAAGCTGGGCAAATTCCTCTCTAGGTCCTGGGGGAGAAGATCTCGGCCTCAGATGGAGACCACATCCTTCCTCCCCTCTTACCACTTCCCCCGGGGGGCCCAGCTTTGTGGAATTAAGTTGTCTTCTGTCTCCATTGGTTGGGGATTGGTAAACAGCTAGGAGCTGCACCTTGTTGGAGCCCTTCCTTCTCTGCTTGACTCCTCTTCTCTGGAGGGAGTAGAAGTCGCACTCTTGGCAGCACGAAGCGACCCAGGGGCCTAGCTCCCCCTCTGCACAGCTCTGTCCAAGCCTTGCCTCAGGACCAGGAAGATTCAGCTCGCTCTGGAAAAATACCCTGTCCTCGGCCTCGCCCTCCGCCGCCTCGCCCCGCCCTCCGCCGCCTCGCCCCGCCCTCCGCCGCCTCGCCCCGCCCTCCGCCGCCTCGCCCCGCCCTTCTCCGCCGGCGCCCACCGCCGCCGCCAATGGCCAACAATTGGGGCGCGGAGCGAGCGCCCTCGTGTGGGCAGAGAGCAGACCGCTGCGAGAAGAGTCGGGTTGGTTTTCTTTTTCTTTCTTTTCTTTCTTTTTTTTGGAGAAAGAGTGTGGCTGTGTTACCCGGGGCTAGAGTGCCTTGGCGTTAGCCTAGCTCACAGCAACCTCAAACTCCTGGGCTCAAGCGATCCTCCTGCCTCAGCCTCCCGAGTAGCTGGGACTACAGGCATGCGCCACCATGCCCAGCTAATTTTTTCTATATATTTTTAGTTGTCCAGCTAATTTCTTTCTATTTGGGGTCTCGCTCTTGCTCAGGCTGATCTCGAACTCCTGATCTCGAGCAATCCTCCCTCCTCGGTCTCCCAGAGTGCTATGGGTTGGTTTTCCTGCGTCCCTGGGAAGAGCAAACAGTGGTGGGGCTGGGGCTTAGGACCACAGCGCTGGCCATGAGGCTGCCCTTCCTATGAAGAGGAAGACAGGGCTTGGGCGCCCAGGGAAGGCGAGGATAGGGGGATCTTTTGGCTTCCAGCAATTAACCCCAAAATAAAGCAGCTCAACTTCATCTGTGACACACCTACATGAGCAACTCAGTGAGGAAACGGCTGTTTGCAAAGACGAACCTGAACCTTGCCGCTCCGCTTTCCAACCTTCAGAGGCTAGAAGACCTACAAATCAGTGCTGTCTTAGGAGAGGGAGGGGAGCAGTTTCAGGGCCTTGGAGACTCTGCTGCGGGGAGGGGCTGCTCAGGCAAGGCCAACAGCCTGCATTTCTGGGGAGCTCTGGTGGGTGGGCAGAGCGAGGGGTTGAGAGGACTCAGCAAAGGTGCACAGTCCACCTGCCGAATAAACAGGCGTGTCCTTTAGCTTCTGCTTCTCCACGGTGGAGGAGGGGATCAGGAACATGGATTTAAAGAATAGCAAATCTTTTGCTTGTTTTGGGGGTATACTTTTTAAGTTTTTTTGTTTCGTTTTGTTTTGTTTTTTACAGGAAATGGGAGGAAAGCAGCATTTACAGTGGAATCTGGTGGGTGCAGCAGTCAAAGGATAGAATTGGGTGTGGAGAGGTGCACAGACTGGTCATTTTTATTGTTAATACTGCGACCAATTTAAAGTTGGAATTGAAGCCTTTCAGCTCACTGTTAAGCATGGTCTGGGTTTACAGGAGAGGACGAAGTTCAGATGTGAGCTGAGGACTTCACACCTGGTCCCCTTGCTTCTCTAAGGTTGGGCAGTGGGTGTGGCTCTGCGTCTCCCCACTTCCTTTGGTTGAGGTCCCCAGCATAATCGACATTCATCCTGCCATCTATAATCGTTACTCTTCCACCTGTGAAGGTGAAACAGCAGCAGCACAGCCTGTCCTGTTTCTGTAAGCTGGGGCAGGCCCCAGGTAAGGGGGTTGAGGACTGAGTCACAGGATGTAGCTCTCTGTTCTCTGCCAAGCAAATCTGAAATTGTCAAGAATAATGCCACCATGTTACATTTGTATAGCACTTTTGTTTTTACAAGGCACTATCATGTCCATTGTCTCTTGTCTTCGGAGGATTTATGTGTAGTCTGTATTATCAACTCCATTCCACAAGCGAGAAGACTGAATTACAGGGAAGTCAGGGCCTCTGCTCAGGTTAAACTGTAAGTTAAGAAGGAGCTTCGAGCAAAACCATGTGCTCCTGATCCTGGGCCAGCTCATTAGTGCTTATCTCATCATGACATACTCGGCCATCTCTTCTTCTTCATCTTTTTCTCTTAAATGTTTTAATTAGATATTGGAAATATACAAAACTGTTTATAAACTACATCTAAGATAATAAGAATGACACAAAACCCACCTAGTTTAAGAAATGAACATTACCTTTTTTTTTTATTTCAGCATATTATGGGGGTACAGATGTTTAGGTTACGTATGCTGCCCTTGCCCCCCCCCAAGTCCGAGCTCCAAGCGTGTCCATCCCCCAGATGGTGTGCATCGCACTCTTTGTGTATA